ACCAAAACCAGCCACTTTGCAAAGATCTTTTGGGTGGGGCTGGGCTTCACGTTCCCCCCACCAAAAAAGCCAAAAGCAGCTCCTTTGCAAAGAGCTCCTGGGCGGAGCGGGGCTTCACATTCCCCCCCCCCACAAAAAACCAGCAAAGGAAAAGGGCTTTTTGGCAAGCCTTGGCTCAGCTGCTCTTGGTTTTTTTTTTTTTTTTCACAGTGCAAAGCTCAGCCCCAGCCTGGCTCAGCAACCAGGCCAGGTACACCTTGTCAGCAGCGGGAGCAAGACGACGCTGAAAGTCAGCGGGGGCGGCAGAGCACAGGGTGGCATGGGGCCGAAAGGGCATAGATGGGGGGGAAATAGGTGGGTGGGGGGAGTTGAAGTGCCCCATGGTCATAAGTGTGGGTGGACTGCCAAGCGTGTGAATTCTGATCACATGACTGTGGGGGCGCTACAATGGCCATAACTTTGGGCAGGGGTCATAAGTCCCTTCATTCAGCGCTGTGGTAACTTCAAACAGTCGCTGAACAAATGCTCGTAAGTCGAGGACTACCTGTAGTACTTTAAGTATCTTTAAAAAGCCTTTGGTGCTATTAGTTTTCTTGACTGAAGATGGTGATTGGGAGACCTTATAGCAGTCTTTCAGACTCCCAAAATCTATACAGTTGTTGGTGTATTTTGTTCACAAAGTAGCCATGCATCTAGATTATCCAATACAAGTCTCCCTGGAATTAAAATAGGAAGTGGATAAACGATTGCCCAATTCAACCATCCCCAAATCACCAACCTATAAAGGTTTTCACTGTAATACACAGACAGAAACCCCGCAGCTTATTCTGCATCATCTTTCTCAAACATAATGTCAAAGCACATGTTTCATTTGCTGATTTCTATTAGCCACATTAGGCAAATACTTCAGCACAGTCTGAAGCTCAAGAAGCTGATCTCTAAATTTTAAAGGCTTTTCTTCAATTCATCAGTCCTGGGTAGGCACTGACCTGACTTTGGGTGCCCAAGGCAAACCTTTTGGACAAGTCAGTCGGTCAGTTGGAGGGTGCTGCACAGGAGGAGGCATCACTTCATCTCTTTCAATAGGAAATGTCTCTCCCTCAAGACTATTGTCCTCATCGTTCTCTTCCTCATCTTCCCGGGAATCATCAGCTTTGTAGGGATCTCGCTCATTGAATGCATCTAGATTATCCTGTTTAATAAGAGCCTGGAAGAACAAACATTCAATGAGAGGCTGGTTAGCTCACCTTCTCCTTCTCAACACTATTTGTTTCTACTGCTAAGCCCTCTGAGTTTTTTATATATAATTTTTAAAAAGAATTTTAATTACAATAGTAAAAACTAATTCAAACTAAA